AAAGTGTGTTTTAGAAGTTACAAAGAAAAATATAAATTGTTTGACAATTGGTGATTTTGAAGGCTGTTTTTGATAAGAGATTTCTTATGGTGTGAAATATTTTTTGCTCACTTCCTTGTTGGCATTCCAGTATTACCATAATTTCATAAAACTGCAGTTGATTCATTCACTTGCAACTGGTTTCTGCATTCTCTGTTAAATTCCTTACTGGCCAGTTTTTAGAACCATCAACAAGCTACTTAGGTACTGAAAGCAGAAAAAGGGGGAGAAGAAAATTGTAGGCTGTGAAAATTATACAAAGGAGAATTTATAAATAATGCCCTTCTTAGGCAGAAAATAATTTCTGAGAACCCAAAGTGTAAGGGAGAAGCTAAGATTGACCTCCTGCTGTTGAATCAGCTGTAAGTCATCTGAATCATCTTGATGCTCAGTTATGAGAAAAACTCAGAGTACAAGGGAAAATAAATTGCATAAAGAGCTCTACAGAGTACATAACCAAGGTATCGACAAGTGTCAGCCAGGATCTCCTGAGAAGCATTAAAAGAAGCCATTGCTATATAGTTACAAAACACATCCCCAATAACAAAAACTGAAAAAGGTTAAAGCTTATCAGCATAACTAAGAAGAGTTCAGGCTCCAGTCTAAGAAGTCAGAAGTCCCTTGCACATTAGGGTAATTTTAAAATGAAATTTAGAGAGGGAGGTAGTGAATGTAACTCTGTCTGAAATAGAGAAGTCAATATTCTCACAGGTACTTACATTAAAGGATCTGCTCAGTTAGTAAAATTCTAATTCCTGCATTCCAAAGGGTTAGTTTAGTAATTTTTAAAAGTGAATATGGGATGAAAGAAATATAGCTTCTCTAAAAATTCCAATGAATATACCTATATGCCTGAATAAAAAAAAAAGAAAAACAGAAAACAGACAAAATAGCTTGCTTTAATAGTACCACTTAATACTTTTAGTGGGAGAATAAGTAAACCTAAAATTCCGAAGTTTGCAAGGGTAGCATAAGCTTGCAGTTGTTGATATTAAGTAATTACAGGATTAGTACAGTTAGATTATGGTAGTTACAAGGTGGAGTCCAGCAGGCACTTTCAACAGCTAACTGGCATGTCTAAAGTATCTCCATTAAAGAGAGAGTTAAGGTTGCCTCACAACCTGGACAGCTGTTTTCAGTGTGCATGTTAGAACAAGATACTTTACTAAACAAAAACTGAGTTAAAATTTCTCAGATAGGTCAAATAAAATTTGAACCTCAGCTCTTAGATGATAAGTAGCCTTTGGAATCCAAATTTATGGTCTGTCATAATATCTGCATGTATTGCAGAAGAAACAAGCTTTTGATATCACATGGCTTTGACGACATTAGTCTCAAAAATCTGACTCTTACATTAGCTGCTTTAATAGAAAAGTTACTAGAAGGAGAACAAAATTTTACTCAGCTAGGCTCAGCTTAACACAGGAAATAACTATTAAAAAAGCTTGGCCGCATTTTTTTTTCCTAGCATGCTGAGCAATCTTGATCTAGAGGTTTAGCTTTAATAAATAGGGAAATCCCTTATATTGGTTTTTGCTATCATCTTTTTGGATGACAGTATCCATCTTCTAGATTTCACACTGTCTAATTTCAAAATAATCAAGTACAGCAACATTCCATAGGAACTCAATGTCTGATGCAGAAAACAAAATACAGAAGAAACCGCACAAATGACATTTTGAACCAGAAGAAGCTCTTGACAGGAATAGGAAATAGCACATGTTTGCAGAGCTCAAGTTCTGCCACATAGATTCAGTTTTTGAGCTTTCCAAGTCCTATTAGATTTATATTATTTCCTCCATCTTAGGCAGCTGGATATGGGCTCCTACTTCCATTCACCAGGACCTACAGATAAAAAGAGGGTTCATCTCTCTGAACCAGACTAATGAAAGTATCTAGAACAGACGATGGGATAACCAGGTGCATCTTTTCTAGTACTTGCAAATTGAAGAGTTTAGAGGTTTTTTGAAAGGTTAACAGCAGCAGTTTACAATAGTTCTGTCAAGAAAAGCAGACATTGTGAAAAGTGTGCAGTAAATACCACTTGCAGAAAGAAGTCTATAGAGACCTTGATCTTTTCATCGCTAAGAGTTTCTACACATCTATTTTGATAATTTCTCTAAGTTAGAAAAAAATTCTACTAAATAAGGTAGGTGTGGCTAGAAAGGCCAAGAGAATAGAAACTACATTAGTAACCAAATCATCTCCTGTTGTAACATCATTGCAAAGCAAAGTTGAGCCTATGCTTGGAGGTAAGCTGTAAGGAGTGCAAAGAAAAACCCTGTTCTGCCTTGTTGGAAGACAGTAACTACTCTTAGCATTCCCCTACTCTGATCTCCTCCTTTTCTTTTGCTCCTAACCTGCAGGCTACTCATGAAAAAGTCATATTTTTCTGAAAAGAGTGAAATAGAACCTGACTAACCTGTAGGCAGCTATTCCCTGCTGTTAAGTTCCAGCCAGCACCCTAACTTTTCCTTCGAGGGCTGAGGTACAGACCTTTATACAGTTTCAGATGCAGCTCTGCTGCACCAGCTCACCTCCCAGCAGGGAGTGCCTGGCTGGCTCCAACTGAGCTTTAATCCTCTGCATCCCAGCTGCTGCTGAACTCAGGAGGAAGTGCTCCCAGGACATCACCGGTATGAAATGCAACAGGATTTCTGACACACTTCTCTGAGAAGCAAGCTAGGCCTTCCTTGTGTACAGTCCTGTGCCGTACCCTGTATCACATTTATGTCTGCTCAGATGCTGTAAATAAAGGCTGACAACTTTTTCCAGGAAAGGGGATTTTTCCTAACTGTGTTCCACACAAAACAAACTCTTGAAATACAGGCTGGTGAAGCTGCATACAGCTAGTTTGTTACTACTGGGCCTTTGCAGATAAACTGTCTCTCTGGCTGATAGCCCAGTTATACAAATTTTGCAGAGACATCAGGTGTCCACAGACAGACAGTCACCATGAACTGACAGCCACCACCACCACCACCACCTCACGTACTGTCTCCCTAGTAAATTCCATGACATAAACCTATATAATAATATCAGGGCATCGTGAGATTTTTGGATCCCCAAATGCCATTAAATTTGACGTTACGGAGAACATGCATCTTGATGTTGTCTCAGGATGACATAAAACACGCAAGAAAAGCCAGTGGATCTGCAGTGATTTGTGTCACAGCAGATCATAAACATTACTTGAAAAGAGTGAACATAAATTGCCAAGTTACAAAACCAGTTGAAACGATGTGACAGAAATAATACCAGATAATGAAGCAATTTTCTGTCCACATGGAAGCAACTTATAAAATGTGCTGATAAGAGCACAGTAATTTAAAAGACAAAGAAGAAAGAATCCATGGAAGAAGAAAACTTGTTGAGGAAGGGTCACTTAAGTCCTAGTGTTTACACCATGGCCAACTTTCTCTTGGCATGTTGCTACGTTCTCTCCCAATTTATGATATCATCCTCTCTCTATTTTTCAGATGTCCCTAGATGTATCACGTAAAGATCTGAGCGTCCAACAGCAACCAGAGCACTCACTTCTCAATGCTACTGTGAGTAAGGAGATAGGAACCAAGATACAGAGACTTTAGGAGCTAGATCCACAAAAGAATCTTAGTGTTCCTCAACTTTTACTTCTAAGGTCCAGTGTTAAGCACCACTGAGATCCCAGGACCCAATTTAGATGCAACCAAACAGGGTAGCTAAAATCCAGGCATTACAATGCCTAATTCTTTCCCTAGGTGTATTCAGCACAGCACAGGAAGTCTGTGGCTGAGCAGGAAACTGAATGCAAATCCCTCATTCTCCCACAGCTTAAGTAGTGTTTATCTGAAGATGCTCCACTTTGAACTGCACTCCGCAGAATCTAATGTTCTACAAGAAATGTATTGTTATATAATAATATGTTTTATGTACACATAAACATATTGCTGTGACAGCAATGTAATGCACTTAAATCTAAAAACTGGCACAAGATTTACCACAGGGACTAAGGGGCTATAATTGCCTCCCTGACGTACCCAGGCACAATAAGCATACTCTCAGCCACACACACGTTTATGGCTGTGCTGCATCCTCATCCCTAACACTTCTGGATCTAAGCCTGGCTAAGCTAGCTTTAACATAGTTAGTTCAACTTCATAGTGGGGCTACAGACAGGCTGCCAGGCACTCTAAACCTCTCTCAGGTGGCTAGTTCTGCTGAGTTCATGATGGGGCTGAAGCCACCCACTCTAAAGCCCGCACAAATACAGCTGAATAGATCTACCCTGTACGGCAGCCACAGTTCCACTGCAGGGCAGACTGAACTGGTGTCATTTCTGTTATGAAGGTGATCTACAAACATCCGAGCAAAGAAAAGGAACTCTTTTTAGTCCTCAGTAATTATAGTCGGACTAGTCTCAGAAGTAAACCAAAAGCAAAACAATCTACTTAGATGGAGCTAAAGTTACTCAATATCCACTATCTCAAAATGTTTTCTGTTCCTGACACTGACTCACCTTGAACGATTAAAGAAACTTTCTGCTCCACTGTTCTAGACCTTTAAAATGAGAAGGATGATACCCTCAACTGTAGAGTGCTTTAAGACTCATGAATAAAAAGAATTCTAGACTTATGCAGTGCCATTAGCAAGAATTCACCACCAATATCTATATGGGTCCAGCTCAGAGGTATTTCACTCCTCGATTCTGGCACTTCAGAACATTAAAGCTACTTAAAATGAAAGTTCAGGCTTAAATACCCCCCTCCACTCCATCTCATGCAGAAACTGAAACAAAAAATTACAGTTATGAGGACTGACATTTTATTCACAGCCACAAAAAGTGATTGCCATGTAGCAGATAATACTCCATATTGGGATAAATACAAATACGTTGGTAAATATAAATCTGTTGCTGTTGAGAGCATTTTCTTAAAAAATACGCTGAGTAACTTAGCAATGCATCTACAGTGTTTTCTTACCTCAAGTAATATGAAACATAACAACGTCAAGTAGCCTCTCTGAGACCGATGCCTGCTGCTTGAAATCATGTTCACCTGTGAAGAAAAGAAAGTACATTACGTCCATCTGTAAGGAGCTGGTATTGTTGAGAATAACGTGCCCACAGCAGACTATAAAAGGCTTGATTAAAACACAGATTTGTACCAAAATAAGAAAAGGTGAGGATTACAATTGGGAATAGGACCAGGAAGAGTATGTGTGCTCCTTTATTCCAGAATAAAAGAGTTGTAAATTAATTTATATCTCACTATTTTGTTAAATTGATTCCAGTCATTGTTGTTCCAAATAACAGTACCTATACAAAGATTTGCACTTAAAATTGTTGTAATAATATCCCTGCATATTTTGACCTGTTTGGATTCAAAACAAATCCTTTATCTCGTCTCAGCAGAGCTACTCTAATTCAATTGACTTCAAAGAAACGTAAGCACGTACTTAAAGTTTATACTTAAGGGCTTTGTTGAAGAGGCATTAGCTGAAGGCACAAAAGTTTTGCAGAAATAAAAACTGAATCTACCAGGTGTTAGTATCTTCTACAGAAGCATGGGTACACGAGACTGGAAGGAACTACCAAGCTGTGAGGTTGAGTCTCTTGTAATCACAGTACAGTAATATCTTATACTGAAGTAGCCACAAAATATTTATTCTTAACACCACAACTGCAAAGGACCTAGCACCTTGTCAGAAAATTAAGATCTGTCGTTAAAAAATCAAAAAAAGCAGTAATCCCCTAGAAGTAAACCCTAGACTACTAATTTCTGCCACAGAAAGAGACAAGGAATAACCAATTCATCACCAAGGTGATGACCCTACGAATCAGTCCATGATTGCAATAGTAAATCAGCTAAATGCTCCAGGGCAGTAAGCATCCTCAAGAATTGGAAAAGTGCTTCCGAATGCTGGGCAGAATAGGCTTTCAGCTATAGGCATGTTAATCCAGGTGTATATTTTGGTCATCAGTGGTGTGGTTCCAGGTTTATGCTCATGTGAGCAGAAGAAAAGTCTGCCTCCTCTCTTCTTCCTTAAAAAAATACGTATTTTAGATCACATAATTTTTCTTATAACTCATCTCCCATTTTTCGTCTTTGTTTTAGTTTCACCACAAGCTCTCACAGGACCCATGAGGTTCAAGTATGCTCTCCACATGGAGCTTTCTAGCTAACAGAAGCCACTGGAGGACTCTTTTCAGACACTGGAGTACACCTCTTGGACTCCCTGGAGCAATATACTGAATGGCAGGCCACTCTTGGGGCTTTGAGGACTGCCTTACCCACAGGAACAGGGCAATCCTGTTGGCCTGTTAATTTGTAATTACCTTATTTAAGTGAGGTTAATGTAAGAGCAAATCAAATATATAACACAGTATTTAAAAACCTTGACCTATAGATTAACAGAATTGCGTCTACCCCTATCTAGCACTTACATTGTCTTCAAATTTTTTTTAACCCTCTACTGATCAGCCAATAAGTTGGCAGACCCTTCCTGACTTCCTTAGTATTCCTTAGCGGGATAGTATGAGAGAGTGTATGGGCTCAAGCACAAATAGTTAGGCTAACAGTAGGGCTACCTCAAAGACATGGGGATGGACCCCATTTTAATACCAACAACCCTTCTTTAGGGTTTTTTCAGATTCAGAAGTCCTCCACTCCTTAACGATTTCTTAGTCCTTAGTTAAATTGAAACATTTGAACTATACGTCCTTACTGTTGAACATTTAGAAAAATTAGTGTTGCTAAGTCACGGCCTCCTTCAATTCTTACACCCAGACAATAAATAAAGATAGTTAGTTAATATTTTCATGTTCACCTACCCTGCTAGCTAATTTTAATTCACTGCTACGAAAAAACGCTCTTTCTACCTACTGAAGTCATATTCAAACCTTAGAATGAAGCCTCTTCATGCACTGAGCCTTGTATTTCACATCAACTTTTTCACTGCTTTATACATATATACAACCATGCTTTACAACAACATTTATTTACTCGCTCACTACTAGTGTTTGAGCCGTACAGATACGGCCGTAAACAATCGCTTGGTAGTAGTAATAGCTTTGGAGGGGGCTACCCCAATAGCTTTGTCTTTAAGGGACACTGTGCCCAATCTCTTTCCCAGGTATTCCAGGCTTTCTCTCTAGTCTCTTCCTAAAGCCTACTAAAAGAGTCCTTTAGTCCTCTTCTGTTTTTCTCATCTGTGTTGTTTACTGTTCTTCCTATCTCATCACTCACTCCTTTTTACTCTCTCTTGCCCTTGTCTTCCCCTTTTCCCCCTCCAGTTTCTTCTTTACTCTTCTTATATCTTATATCAGACCCTCATTCTGCTTCTCTCATGTAGCACTCCCAGCATCTTGTGTTTTCTTCACTCTCTCTCCCATGCCCTCTCAAATCCCTTCTTGATTCCCTTTCTTCTTGCTGATATTTTAGTGAGCTAGAGCTGGCTCTCGTATTTTAACTGCTGCCTTTAGATTCACTCTCTCCTGTGCTCTGCCCGTGCATGTGCATGCTGGGCTAGGGGCTCAATGACCCAGGAGACAGCATACTAAAAAGAAGGCAGATGCTTCCAAGCAACATCAACAAAACAAATGCTGCTATGTGTGTGTGCAGCCTGGCTGCCAGCAATATACAGAGCATCCTGGACGGCCCTCCTCCCCTCACAAAGGTGGCTGGGGGAATCTGACACTGCGCTTCCCTCCCCTTCTGAGTGAGTTAATAGAAACGTAGTGCCTAGATGTTCAGCGAGACTCGTGCATGCACCGGCTGGGTCTCCCTGGGAGCTATTAACTTTTCGATTGGGACCTTGTCACTCTGAGCTTTTTTTGCACAGCCTTTGGAACTATCAAACACAGCAGTGGTTATCTGCATTCAGTTTGTGCTTATTCAAAGCAGCGAAACAGAAAAATGCTTCACAGGGCAAGGAGCATGGCATATGTTCTTGAAACCTCTCTCTGCCTGTGAAAGGCTGAGCATATTTATCAAGCAAATAGAAAATGATGGCTCTAGGACTGATCAATTTACTTGTACATATCCAGGGCCAACCTCTGCTGTTCATATGCCATTGGATTCAAATTCTCACTCAGGCAAAAGTCCCTTTGACTCCTCTGACACCGTTACATAATTATATAATGTAATCATTAACATTGCATATGGAGATGTGCATACATAGGTACTGTACATTGGGACTATAGGCTCAGCTCATTAAAAAGACACCAACATAGCTATTATTTATTATTTATTGAGTGCTGACAGTACATTGAGGAGAAGAAAACAAGCTCTGGGCATTAAGAACCAATACATGGCTGGTCTTCAGAAATTACCTTGGAAATGAGAAGGGCCTAAGATTCCTTTCCTCCAGCATAGCATCAAAGGAGAGATATGTTGTTGTTACTGCCTCCCAAGTACTGCAGCTGGGTATGTGCCAATGCCTAAAGCTGTCAGTGCACCAAAATGTGGATGAACTGCAAGCCTGAGGTGTGTTCCAGAACTTCCTTTTTCATAACACGGAGATAAACACTGGCTGGAGCCTAGGACATCCCCTATGAACACATACTAAATCTGAAATTGCCTCTCCAGAGATTGTTGCTATGAGCTTGGAGGAAGATGAGTGAGCCTGAATGAGGCATCAAGAAGCCATCTGTGAGGGCACAGCTGAAATGCTACAGACAGGCCTATAAAAAGCTCTATGTAAAGAACCGGTTCTGTCTCAATAATATAAAGTCTTTTCATGTAACTAGTTACTAGGCAGCCTATGAAAGTTATTCTGGCAGTACCACATAGCATGCACTAGCCAGTCTGCCCACTTCCAGCCAGTGTTCTGGGAGTATGGCTAACAGTAGCCTGCAGGATCAGTCTCCACACAAGCCCATCTCTGCTTTATGTCATCACCAATCTGCATCACTACTATACCAGGGAGTCATGTTCATATTTGCACTCTCTGTTTTTGAGAGAAAGACTGCAGGCACGCACTTCCATGAGGAGCTCCGGACAATGGAGTTTGAGCAGAAACACTACCCTGCAGCTCTGAATAAAGGCTGGTTACAAGCCACAGCTGCATCTCACTCTTGGCAGCTGTAGGCTAAACATCTTCAATTTATGTAATTCTCATCACACGCCCACTGTTTCTAATCCCACTTGGAGGTGCACAACACACTCCATTCAGCTTGTAAGAAGCTTCAGTATCTCTCCTCAGCATGAGAGAATTGCACTGATGTTTCCAGGATGATTTTTCTTATTTTGACAGTATTACATAAAGGGTATAGAAGCAAGACCACAGCCAAAAAAACACAATGTTTTAACAAAAAGCAGTCACCGCCCTGCATTCTACCTGGAAACTAATCTTGTAGGTGATTACTAGACACATTTATTGCCTCCAGTCCTCCAGGTGCCTTACTTAATATCACAATGTTTCTGGCACAGCCACAAAACATTGAGAACCGAGATATTCTCAGTCGAAAGAGAGTCCCCTAATCTCCTCACTGTGTTACCACCTGTATTGTCCACAGTTGCCATTTCTATGCCTGTCTTCTGGCACGTCCCTTTTTCAATGAAAGCCAGTTTGAAGGCAATTTGAGAGCCTGGTGCTACCCATCTTACAAAGCTTGTTATACAAGTGCCAAACAGATCTAAGACACCATCATGACAAGATTTCTATTCCATCATAGGTTTCCCTATAATTTGGAATTCAGTTAGAAATACAAATAGCATATTCTATTTCATCCTTTCAAGCACGCCAGGGTAAGAAAAGAAATATATGAGAGCCAAATGTCCACCTTAGTAAGAATGTTCTTCCATCAGTCTCTTACATATGTAGCAGGAAAAGGTAATAGGAGTAACATAGCTCATACTGATGGTCAGGATGCTCGAGGAAGAAATTACTTTTTGAGATAACTTGGACACAAACCCTTACAGATCAAAGTCAAAATTTTCAAGTATATTCAAAAACAAAGTCTAAAGCCAATGAAATCTAAACAGTGTAAGAGTAGGTTGCCATCAGCTGCTGAGATCCACATGAGAGAAGAACTACTGCAGAACTCCCTAATGAG